CACTCATCAGAAATGTTTATTTCGCATGTAAATAATACGGAATAATCTTGAGGTAAAGAATATCTGAAGAGTTGAAATGTCTGCAATTCTTTATCTAAAGAGTTGTAAGAGTACCGTATTCTTGATTTATAGATTACGATACCAGAGGTAAAAATCGTGCCATTGTGCGGCGACAAAGTGAAGGGAATATGCATGCGCTATAATTCCCATACTAGTGGAAGAATAATTGTTAGATAATTCCTGATATATAGATAATATGTAATATGTTTCTCTGACATTATTGAAAGTACTTATTCTACTGGTTTTAGAGCTTTGCTAAGATTCAATGCATTAATCTATATTTTATACGTATTTTAAAAACGGTCTACTTTTTTTCATTTAATTTTTTTTTTGTTTATTTTATATATTTTTTTCTTTTTCTGACCTTAGATTTAAGCGTTTTTATGCAGGTCGTAATTTTTTTTCTTTTTTTTTTTGGCCGTGACAAATACACATTTTATTATTATCTTTATTGCATGTATCAAGTACTTAATATGTACTACATAGATGAAGAGGCAAGAACAAAATCCAATCGTTGTTGGTATTCAAATACCGATATCGATTTTTAATTGTCGGCAATTACCGTATATCATTAGTATAACAGTAGCAACGTATTAAAAGTAAAATCGCGTACCCTTTTATCAAAGTCTAAACGTATATGTTGTATACAATAAATTTGTACAATATGTTGAATAGGATCAGTGTTGTTATATATCGTGTATTTTAATAAGTTTATTCTTTATTATACAAGAGAAAAGATACAATGTATCGCATCTGTTTTAACATCCTCTTTTACTGATCCAACGTTCTTCCCCTTTTTTACGTTGTTAAAGCTCTCAGAATTATCGCATCGAATTTTAGCAAAGATTGTTGAATTTGGCTGTAAAATAGATTATGTAATTAGTGATATGTTTATAAAAAAAGCGCACCTCGACAGGTTGAAGTCTCGCGCCACGGCACGTATATCGTAGTTAGGATATGAGACAGTGTCTATTCTACATATTTTGTAAATAGAAAAAACAATATACTAATTGAAATATATATATATATATATATATATATATATATATATATATATATATATATATATATATATATATATTTAATGGAGATGGTAGAGTACATGGTATTGTAATATGTAGAATTATAATTATGAAGAAAAGTGCAGAGGCAGGATTAAGTTTAGGATAATTGCAGATTATGGGCCTTCATCTGTAGTGGACTTTTGTGCTCGGGACGGTCCTCCCACCCTTCTCCAAAGTTAATCCTTTCCTAAAGCGTTAGGATACTATTGTTTGTATATAATATAATTATATCATCATCCTATTGTCTCTTGATTTATTATCTTTTATCGAATGTTAAGCGCACTAGTGGCAAATAATAATGTAGGGAGAGAGAAACTTAAAGCCTGGATTGATCCTGTAATGCCTTCGTATCGCTGACTATTACTTAATTAATGTATCTACTCTCTGTCGATGAGAACTCAGTTTCAGACTTATATTGCAAGCCATTTTAATACGTTTTAAAACGATTTTTATGGTTGCGTTTCATGCAAGCAATCAAAATTCGAAGGGTAATCGTGTAAAATTGTGAGAATATTCTAGAGTTGCATACGTACGTTTATGTCGCGTGTCGTGAAGTATGCAAGCTCGTTTTTATTTAATTCGGCTAAATTCTAATAAAATACCTCTTGTACGATATGAGATTCGTAGAATTTTTTTAAAAAGATATTTTATTATAAAATGTTTTAGATACGAATGCTCAAGTCTTACTATATATTTATGCTGCATGCCCACAAGATCTATTCTGTACAGAATCTAATGAATTTGTCAAATATATTTGTGTCTTTACGGCTTTACGGTGTTCAGCAATAACGGGAAAAAAGTCGTCTATTAAGAAATTGTTTATATATTAAGCGCCACCTCCTTTTTTTAATCTCTACGCGCACTTTTCATTAAGTCTTTTTAAAAACATGTTCCAGAGATACATTTTTAGATCTAGATGAGACAGGATCTTAACAGGGTTTGAATATCTCTCACATTCTAGCCCATCTCTCAAAGAATTAATACAAAAAAATAAATACTATATATATTTTGTACTTGCGTAAACTAGCGAACTACTTTCCAGTATTTATAAGATTCTTGAAAACTTCTTCGATATATATGTGTATATATAAATATATACATATAATTAAGTATATATGTATTTTATTATATCTATATATATACATATATACATATCTGTACACATATTATATGTATGTATACATATAGATTATACATATACATATATGTATGTATCTATGTATGTATATATACGTATCTTCTTCCCCCCTCCCCTTATTTCGTATGGTGATGAAATACGTTCCGTGATTTAGCAGCCATGAATGTGACTGTGATCTAGGAAAACAGAAGTAAAGTAAAAAAGTGGCGGCTACTCTACTGACTATTTCTTCACCACTAGACTTTCTTCCTGTGTGTGTTTCCTTCCTCTTTGTATCTCTTCTTCCTCAATGTATAAACGGATATGCACTAAATCGAGCGCTTCTTCACACCACTCTTATCATTATTATTATTATTATTTTTTATTATTTGCGTTAAATATATTTTTACTGTGCTTAGCCGCTACGGGATTTACCATAATATCCAATTATTCTATTATTTCTTGTTTAATTTTGAAATATTTTTAAAACTGTTATGTAATTATATATATTATCAGTCAAGATTAATGTTATGAAAATATACGAAGCATACAAAAGTAAATACCATATATAGAAGTCGTGGACAATGACTCTATATGTATCCATGCAGTAAAAAACACTTCACGTTGAACATTGTACGATGTACGTGCGTCGTGCATATGCGTGGGGATAATATGAATAAATACAATTATAAATATAAATATATAAATATGCAGTCGCATATGTGTATGACATCATGGCATATATTATATGTAGGAGAGACGATTATATATATATTTGGCTGAGGCATTAAAATCTGCACCAATCCAACGAGACAGACAAGTCCGCTTTGTACCCTGAGACGTGATCGACTAATTACGCACCCCTGATGATCCATTTCAGTGTCGCCAAGCAATATCTTCGGAGCGTGTTCTCGAGTGTGAATTGTATCAGCGTCCTTGCGCGCGTACTCCGTGGAATTACTCCGTTAAAAGAGAAAGAAGAAGCAAGCGATATACATATACGCGTGTATATTTTTCTTAGTCGTATCTAATCGGCACGAGGTGTAGAGGGTATATCAGGTACGGAGGGAAATTCTTCCGGAGAAAGAGACAGACAGAGAAAGAGAGAGAAAGAGAAATCATCTCTTTTTACACTTGCGTACTACCGTAACGATGTTCGTTTGCCGATTTTACCATTGTGCCTGTAATCAATATCTCGGGACTCACGAGTCGTCGTTTCCAACGTGTTACGAACTGAATGCGAGCCGAGCGCGTTTTGCGGATGAATGAGCCGATGGAGATTGGCAGATTTTAACACTGACGCCGTTAAAACGAGTACCAGTTGTTGGACCAAATTGCCGGGTACACAAATACGCATACACACACATACACGGCCGTTTCGAAATGCGTTTACTTTTTCTAAGGAGCGACTGAGGGATGAGAGCAAGAACGTGAGATGAGAAAGGAATTATTCGTACGGCATTCTTGTGGCATTTTACGTTACCGGAATCCCCTTCCCCCTTCCCCGATCACGCAAAACCCAAACGACTGTTTCCGTCTGTAATTGTACATACTTTGACGTAAAATTAAGTGTGCGCGCTCGTTTTTTTCCCCTTCGGTTCACGCGAGTTTGCTAGGTTTGTGATCTTCGATGAAAGTTTGGAAATGTTTGACACGCGGGCCCGACGCCGTCGTTTTCTATTGAAAGATAACATCCGACCTCGGCGCGTCCCACGGCGATCGCTCTGGTCGATCGTACAAATGTCACACCGTCGGTCTTCTCCACCGAAACATTTCCATATCTCGCATCCTGCAATTTCATCGAAGTTAAGTTACTCTGCTCAGTAAATAAATCGTAGTGCTATATGATCGCGGATAATAATTATTAGTAATAATAATAAAGTGGAATTAGAATTCTAACGTTATTTCGGCGAGGCACGTTGCTGCGAACGATTGATGATTTACTCATGTATGTGAAGTGTATTATATGAAAATTTACTCTCGTAACAATGTAAAATCTATATTTTATTATAAGGTGGAAAGAGCAGTATGTGGTGGATTATCTTATGCCTGGCCAAAGTATTATTACACCGACGATTAGCATACGCAATAATCAGTTTTACGAATGGAGATCGGCATGCGCTTTACTTCCGGTTAAAATATAATCGTCGCGGAGAGACCGTAGCTTGTTGGCGAAGCGCCGTAAAAAAAAAGGGTTTCTTTTTTTCTTCTTCTTTTCACGACGTATATACACTGAAGTGCATTGTTCTGGGGGAGACATTTTAATGGCCTCTTGTGTGTATATTAGTATTAACGACACTGATAACTGTAAAAATAAAAAGAAAGGAAAAGGAAGGATTCTTAGCACATTACAGAGATATTTACGAGTTTTCAGGAAGCAGATAAATATGGAATATTATATACGAAAAATATTCTTCATCAAATGTATATTACAAAATCATATATATTATATACCGATGTCTGATTATAAAAATATTGAACAAGTGTTATCAAATAAAATGTTGTAATCTGTGTTGACAATCGCCGATTGTTCTAAGCTTGACACGAACGTCGAACGGATACATGCCTTCTTGAGTAATAAAGGTAATAAATCACGATATATTTGGGGATGTGTCACGTTTCCAAAAATGATTTTTGTCTCTGTTGTACATATGTAAAACCGGCCAGAGGAAATATTTTCTCGTGAGCCAAGAAATTCTCAACTTCTTAACTTACGAGACAAGGAAAAAGGTATATTGTTGTGAAATATGTTGTCGGTATTGAGAAGCCGAAATCGTGTATATTTTCTTAAATATCTATTACAACACACAGCTCCGCGCGATCCGATTAGATAGATGGAATATTTAAAAAAATGCAATTTAAAAATGCAATAAATAAAATCTATAGTTCACTTGCTTCATTGCCATGTTCACGTAATCACTTGCTACTTCGATATGTTTTCCTTTTGCTTTTTCTGTTTCTTCGTTTCGATCTCGTCGATCGGCGCAGCTTTCACGAACGGAATCTCACTTTCGTATTCGGAAGGCATGTAATCCGACAGAACTTTTGGCACCTTGATGCCAGTTTCCGTTTGATGTACTTCCAAAATTGCGCAAATTACGCGCGTCACGGCGCACATCGTCGCGTTCAGCATGTGAACGTAGTCCGTCGTGGTGTTCATTTTCTTCGTTTGACCGTATCTGCAGATTAAACGAATTTCACAAGACTTTTACGGTAAGTTTAAATACAAGAGCATGAATATTTACATTCAATCTAATCCACTGACCTGACTAGCAATCTTCTTGCTTGATAATCCAAGCAATTGCTACACGATACGAGCTCGCGAAATGCACCCGATCCAGGGAACCAGGCTTCCAAGTCCAACTTCTTGGAAGCTGCATGATTCAGTGCACCGGATACAATATTAACTATACGATAAGGAATGTCTAAGGCCTGATAAAATTCTTCCGCGTTGGAAATCATTTCTTCCATCATCTCCCAGGATTTGTTATCGTGCGGCGAGGTAAGACAGAATTGTTCTACCTACAAATAAGAAAATATATGTATATTAAACACATACATTAAACTTACTGTTTTATTTAGTGAGTTATTAACTTTTATTTGATATGTTGCGTGGCTCGTTGGAACGACTCGTTCTCATTCAAATTTTTAAATTTGTAAGTTGTACAAGCTAAGGGGTAAGAAGCTCTGACCGAAATCTTGATCTTCCTAGTTAAGGGTTGTGAATGTGGCTGGCAATTATATCACATGAAATCGTTGCGAATGTTCAAAGAGGACGACCGAATCTTTAGAACCAAGCCAAGGATTGTGAAGCCAACGTTGATCAATAATTCTCACTTAACTCCACATACCTTTTCAAACTGATGCACCCTAAAGATACCCCTAGTATCTCGTCCATGAGAGCCAACTTCTTGTCTAAAGCAAGTAGAGATTCCAGCATATTTTATCGGTAAAGCGTTTTCGGCTATCCATTCGCCCCTATGGAAAGCTGCTATTGGTTGCTCGGAAGTAGCAATGAGATATTTCTCCTCCATTTCTTTGTCCTCGTTACGTTCGGTACCTTTACCAATCACCTGATACAATAAAACATGGTAATTGTAATTAAATTAATATTTTGTGTTAACTTTCTTGAGACGTTACTTCTTATATGTACCTTGTACAATTCCTCATCGAATTGAGAAAGTTGCGCCACTTCTTGCATCGCGTCTTTCCGCATAGTAAATGGAGTGTACAGAGGCTTGTAGCTTTTTTTAAGTAATTTCCTCAATGCTAATTGTATTAGGGCTTGTTGAAGAAACACCGCTGGTCCAGTGAGGAAATAGCCGCGTCCACCGGAGACACTTGTTCCACGTTCTCCGTCCATTCCGTCGATCATGTGGATCAGATCTACATGAGAGTACTTTTTTCTCTCGGTGCAGTCTCCCACTGTTCTCTCCACCTAAGGCAATGAATATTAGGTAAATATCAGACATTAAAAACAATAGTATCTCGCTTAAATCCTGCAAGAGGCATCAATTGAACGTACCTTGTTCTCTTCTTCGTCGTTGCTGACGGGCACAGATTCGTGCAAATGATTTCCCACCTCCCGGAGTGCGTTATTCCTCTCTGACTCGGTAGTCTTCAGATTCTCATCGTTCTTTTGTATGGCATCGTCGATGAGGGTACGTATTCGTTTGATCTGCGTCACCGTCAAAGCTTTCAGGCTCTCGGAGCTCAAGTTGTCCAGGTCGTCGGTGATGGCTTGAGGCACGATGTCGACGTCGCCGAGCGGCTCCTTCCTCTTCATCTTCTCGCCGATCACCTTGCTGCACAGGTTCTTCAGCTTGTTGAAATTGTCGGCACGATGACGCAATTGCCGCCAGTGCTGGTCCTTCTCGATCACGGTATCCACTAGCTGCACATCCTTGAAACGCCTCTTCTGGTTCTCCCGGATCTTTTCCGGGTCGAAACCCTTGTCCTTACGGAAGAAATCCAAGTCGAGCACCATAGTTTCTAGTTTACGCTCGGCCTCGCGGAGGACGTATACTGTGCCGCATACACGTGGCACCTCAACCAGCTGCGAAAAGACAGATATAAGTTTAGTATCCCTGACAACGATATTACATACGCATTCTCTCTTTAGGATATTTATTTAACTTTGATATATGTATGTGCTTTTACCTATTCGAGTGACAGCAACTGTCAAAGTGTTAAGTACTGTCAACCAGTAGCGGCTGTCACAAGTTATCACAACCTCGTTTGACCTGACGAAATAATCAGAGGTTATGAGGTTATTATGAGGAGGTTAAAACCATAGACATGATACGAATGTAGACGGAATAACTTCCATGCCAAATGGAGATTTTCGAAGAGTTGCATATATTCATATATTTCGTCATTATTAATAGAACATAATGGACACGGAACAAATTGATTTCGGGACAACCGGCGTCGTAATTCGTTTAATTAGTAAGCAAAATCTGTATCAACTCTATTTTATATTCCTTGTAATATAACATATATTTAATCACGCGTAAATTCGGCATTCGTACATTGACGATCTATTAGAACGCATATTTCGCAAGACTATTATTCGACTGAAGATGTTTCGCATGAATATATGACCAAGTGATTACATTATTAAACGATATTGCAAATATTGTAGATATCAAACTACAAATCTACAATATCAATACTTGTATCTATATATTTAACTCATATCATCAGGATCAGAAAGGGAAAAATGACTGCTGTATAAAGCAAGTGTATATCATTTATTGTTAAAATGAGAAAAATGCATAAACGCGAAAGTAAAAACGGGACGTGTAGTAACACCGCGGCGCGGGCGCGGCGCTTTTGGCGCGCAAAGTTGCCCGCGCGGGAACGAAGCCTCCGCCATATTGATGACGTATGACCTTCTCCTTCCATTTCCAGAAGGCGGCTGACACGGAACGGATCGTCCCGGAACGAGTGGCGTCGCGGCTCATTTAATTGGTACGTACAACAGATATTAACCTTGTGTGCTTTATATTAACTACAGCATCTATCGCGTAGTATAGATTTAGAGCTCGGGTATTGATATTTCTTGAAAATACGTATTCCGCGGTACTTGTACGACCGAAGGCGCGTCGCGCGTGCAATCGCGAATAAAGTGACGACCGTACTTTCGAGTGTCGCGAATATCGCGGATATTTGCCAGAAATATTAATACGCTATTCGCTAGAATGCAGAATAACAACCGTGATAACAGGCGAGTTTATAATATTTAATTTTCGAAGTTCGGAAAGTTCGTGATCGCAAAGTTGAGAGTAGGATGACGCGTAGCGACGCCGCGCGCCGCGGCGCTTTCGGCGCGAGTTGACCGCGCGCGAGAGACGAAGCGCTTCCGCTATATTAATTTATACGTTCTGCTTTTCCAGAATGCGACGAATACGAGAAGGAGATGGATCCGCTCCGAACGAGTGGCACGACTTATTTAATTGGCAAATATGTAACATGCATTAACTTTGCATTTCGGCTGCGTTCGGGGAGCGCGCTATCAGCACTATTTGCTTATTCTATCCTTGTTTTACACCTGATGAGCGATAAAGATAGAACGATGCAATAGCGCTAATAGCGCGCTCCCCGAACGCAGCCTTCATATTCATAGCAATCAATAGCTATCGCGAAGTATAGATTCAGCACTCGGAAATTAATATGATAATCCGTTCGAACGCGTGTTTCGCGAAAACCTTTTGTCCGTCCTATTGTATATAAGATCTATTGCGCGAATCAATCTAGTGACGTCGTGTGTCGCGTCACTCTTTTAGCACCCGAAAATAACTATTACGCCATCTTACACAGATATACATTTCGTTGCATTTTTATTTGAAATATCGCTGCGATATTAAACGGTAGGCCGTGACGTCATGCGCCGCTCCGCGCCGCCGGCGCGGCGGATCGATACGGTGATGGTGACGTAGTAGGCAGTGTAGGCAGGCACCTGCGCAGTCCGTATCAACCCGTACTAGCGGCGCGACCATTGAACTCGAAAGCTCCGTACCTCGAAGATCGGCGCGTTTTCGACGTTGTTTCTGGCGATGTTATCATGTTATCACGCAGTTATCATTCTTCCGAGGAATTTCGCACAGGTAGGAAGTGTTTGTGCTCCGCGCGCGCTCGTCACCGACGTCACCGTGCTTCGTGCTGTTTTCGGAACACGCTCGTTTCGGTGATTGGCATTCCTGCTTCCTCGTTTCGAGGGCCGCGGAAATAATCGCTACGCGATCGAGTACCGCGCGCCGTGTGCCGTGTGCCGTGTGCCGCGTGTGTAAAACAATTTACGAGTGTATGAGGTGTTTATCGGAATGAACGTGTCGCGCGACGCGCTCACTCGAGACGTCGAGGCGGAAGTACGTATATGAACGACTTGCTTTGCAGTTTCGCGCTGCGATATTCGCGAGTGATAGTCGCTCCTCCCGCCATGTCTGGATTCGCGAAGTGCGTGGCATTCATTTATCTCGTGTCGTGCTTTGAACGCTGACGTGCCGGACGTGTCGTGTGATTTAGCTCCGATTCTCTCCGTAGGGAAAAAGGGCTGAGTGATATTGATCGTGTCAAGTGATTCCGGTGATTCGATCGGTGATAACGGAACGCCGCGATACATCGCCCGTTCGTGAGTGCTTCACAATCTCGGATTCTCGTATATCTCGCGTCGCGTAAGATTAGCGACCGGCAGTCACGCATCTTCGTTGTGCATATTAATAATGTAGTTATACTTTCGCGAGATTTACGAGTTTGATCCCGTACGTACTGTGCATGAGTGCGATATATAATTTCAACAGCGTATCTCTGATTAACGAAGTACGTGTCTTTATTAACCGTCCGCTCGACTTGCGTAGTATCGCCGGTAACGCGGTGATGAACGTGGAACGACGCGGAGCACGCGGCGTCGCGACTCCTTCAAATTTGCATGAAAAATTCATGTTACCCGATTTTATATTACAGAGCAAAGTACTTCCTTCCCACGGGTACGACCTTGGCGAGGTGGGAAGGCTCAGTACCCAGTACGAGGATTTTACCTAAGCAAAACTCTTGTTCTGCTTGGATAAAAATTCAAAGACGGGGAAGCTAACGTACCCTCGTTCGCCGATTTAATTGAATGAACGAACCGCAGCCGGTTCGTCGCGCGTTTGCATCGGGAGTGCCGCTCATAAGTAATCGGATTAAAGGACTTTTTTAAACGGGAGTGCCGTACAATATCGCGCGAGAAAGACTTTTAACAGAACGTAGTCCGCGCGCGCGTGTAATTTATCATCCGCGAGTGTTTCTCGCGAGTGTCCTGTGCGGTGAGACGAGGAAGCCTAAGTGTCCTGAGAGGAGGAGGCCTGGGAGAGGCATCGGGCACCGGCGGAGCAACCTTGGGGTGAGTATCATCTCTTATATCTGCGTAAAATTAATAGTTCTTTTTTATTTATTCGACGTGTTTTATCTCGATAAATTAAAAATAATTAGAGAAACAGGTTATCTAAAATTTTACTCTTGTAAAGATCGTTTTCGGTGAACACAAATACGTGTGTTGCTAAATATTTTATTGAAAAACAAATTAGTTGCGCGTAAAAATTATATCTTGAAATGTTGATAATTTTGAACGCTTTTTTAATTTGAATCTTATGTTTGTATGTTACAGTATCACCGTAGCTACGTGGCTGAACAACTCCGCCCGTTGCACATCGGCGTGGTGAGTCAGAATTTTTTTTATTGAGGTAACAAATCTACGATTAGTCAGATATAGAGCCATTGTATCTCGGAACATATCGACGTACGACAATAACGTACTCTAAAAATATTACATCTCGTAGATTTGTTGTCTTAAAATGGATGGGCTAAAACTAATTACGGAAAAATATTTAATCTTGGTGTCAGTTGTTTATTGATTTATTGTGCACGTGTGCTTGAGGAAATACTCGCACACTTTGCACGCACGGAGCTCGCGAAGAGCTCAGTATCGTTCATCAAACTATGTTGACGGTCTGCCGCGTTCTGTAGGTATAAATAATAGCTTTTGAATAAAATTTTTAAGTACATAAGAAATTAAATTTTCCAAATTTTGTTACATATATTAATTCTACTTTGAGTAATAAATATTTTAGAAATACAAAAGACAAAAAGTAAAATAATCTTCTGACAATTAAAGTAATGATTTTTGTAATATAAATATTTTATTTAGATTCCTTTAAAGAATTATTTTTGGCACTATTTTTCTCAAACAAAAGAGATAAGGAATAAGATATCGTGTTAGATGTTATAAAAAAAATATCTGTAGATAGGGAAAAATTATGACGTAGTTAGGATGTGTTTCATTCATACCCTTTATTTGTTCCTTTCCACATGTTTAGCCAAGATTAAATATTATATAAATTGATGCAAGGAAGCAACAAATAGATATATTTAGAATATCGGTATGCATAAAGAAAAGCGTTGAATATGCATAAATATAAATACATATGTATAAAAAGGACAAGAAATATGTTGGTCTTATTATGCAAGTTATTTTATAGAAAACATGATAATTGTTTTTAATTAATTAACTAAAATTTATTTCAATGAAGCATTGATTTTACCCTAATTTTTTGTAACCTATCCATCTATTTTTGATTGAGAACGTGTCTTTATAATGTCTGTTAAGTTAGCACCCCCCCTACAAAAAAACGGAATAACACATACGTAGAAATTAAGTGCTCTTTATGTGCTAATTATGTGCTCTATTCGCGATTTTTGTGCTCGAGCAGTTTCGCGGAAAATCGCAATTGAAAGTGGGGGTGCTGGCTTAACGTAAGCTAGCACCCCCCTCATTAAAATTACATATAAAATAAAAAACTCAATATGCTAGAATTATGTGCTCTTTATGTGCTTTTAAATGCCTTAAACAAAATTAGTCTATCTATAATAGTTTAAAAAATATACGCAAAAAAAGATCTACATACTACTGATATAAGATTAAAGTATCAGTTAAAATACAGAAAGCGAAATAATTATTGTCTTAAAATGTTTTTCGATTAATGTGTTCTCGAAATATGCACAATGAGATTTCCGTGCTCATCCCCTTGAGCCAACCAGAACGTTAGCACCCCATACGTACAAGAGTAAAGTACCAGTTAA